CCTTATGAAGTGCATTTTATTCGATATTGAATTGTGAAAGGTTGTATGATTTGGAATCTGGAACTAGTTTATGAGATGAATTATGGATTTGTTTTGTGGGTTACTAGAGAATGGTGTTAGTGGATTTTGCTCATGTCGCTATGATTTGAACCCATTGAGGGGTAAGTATGCATACTGCTATCGAGACATCTTTTTGGGTCGAACCACTAGCTGATATAGGTGGAGAACTAGCCGGGGGAAAACTTCGTCGCCTTTGTCACAGGCGTCAAACGTGACCATAGTTAGATATTGAACATTAGATTGGTCGATGAAATGAACTATTGACGTTTGATTTGATAGAGATTGATAAATGAAATGGATCATTGATGGTTAGTTTGTTATTGTTGATTTTATATTGTTGATAGATCTTAAATGTAAAAAGTTTTGTTGAAAGCATATAACCCACTTTTAATATTTTACGTATATCATATGCTAGATTTGGGATTGATGAGTTCTGTTATCGTTTTATAAAAATGCATAGTGAATGTTCGATCTGCTTTGAAGAGATGTACTACTTACTGAGCTGTGATTGCTCACTCTGTTCATTACGAATCTTTTCTAAGTTCTTCTTCTAGCGCCAAGTAGGACGAGAGCGATATTGATGGGGAATTTTTGTAGTTGAACTTTTGGGTATGAGTTGAGATAGTTGAATTATGTTTGAAATGGTATTTGTTTAGGTTAAGTTTGTTTGTTTGGGAAGATACATATTCTCGAGGGATCTTAGAAACTCTAATTGGGTAATCAACTTACTACTCTATTAGATTTATAAATGGATATATACATTGATAACAGCTTCATGTTGGTTTGTGTTTGAGGTTATATCATTCGAGTGAAAGGACAGCCGTGTTAGTCCCTTATTTTTGTTGGAATGGGGCTACGACTTAGGAAACCTGTATGTGCATGTTTATTTGATGTATATGGTTTGAGGTAAATGATAATTAGGATATACAATCAACTACAAAACATAAAGTTTCTCTTTTCATGCGTAGCTAATAGTAAATTGCTATCTAGAGGTGATTGATTCATGCCTGAATACTAGGGGTAAGCATGGATCCAGGATAAGTGGAAATCGGACCAATCTAGCCATAGGAACCGGTCCGGTTCCGGGTTCTAGGTTCCTGTGGTTACCGGTTTCTATAAAAGTGGAACCGGTAATGTACAGTTCGGTTTCTGCTTCCTAAGTAAGAACCGAATCTGGAAATGGGAACCAATGAATCGGACCTGACGTTGCGCACGATTGCTTTGTTTGCCAAAAAAGTGAAACTTTGAAGCCAGATTGATGTCCCAGACGACTGAAATTCTTAATAGATAGACCACCAAAGGTATTGTTCTGAAGTTGCCAAATGCTTGATTTGGTTACTGTCCCCAAAAGGAAAGGACCATGAGCTTCACGAAATGTCTACTCGCATACTCTCTCTCTCTCTCTCTCTCTCTCTCTCTCTCTCTCTCTCTCTCTCTCTCTCTCTCTCTCTCTCTCTCTCTCTCTCTCTCTCTCTCTCTCTCTCTCAACTTTTCTATGCTAATAATAAGTTGTATTTGGAGGGCTCATCTTTCAATTCAAACATGGAAGCAAAGACGGAACAAAGATGATGGATAATATTTCTGTTCTGGGTTAATTTTGCAGGATTGATTTTCGGAGAGAAAATGATGCTTCTCAAAGAAATCGTGTTTGCCGGTTCTTTCACGGGGCCTGGAGTTAAGCATCCGCTACTTGTCGACAACTCAGACAAGAGCGCAAGCAATCGGAGCATAAGAAGGTTTCTAGCATAATCTATCTAAAGAATAATAAAGAAATTTCGGTTGTGCCATTTGAAGTTCTGTGTTGATGATTTTGTGTGCTTTCCAAGTGATGCACATATTAGCTTTAGTTGGTTGCTATTGACAAATGGGGATTTTTATTGTTGCGTTCACTTTCATTTTGCTTAACTAAAAATTAAACAAAAGAAAGAAAAAATGACCAAAAATAAATTGGCCAGTTCCCGGATAGACCCTGGAACCTTCCTTATGATGTGGACATCGTGCCATATTGAGGACATCATGGTTCGAGATCTTTGGAGTGGAAGCGATCTTGGATTGGAACTTGAAAAATCATGGATCTCTTGGCGCAACACGATCAAATTTGATCAGTTGCAAGGAAACGGGCCGCTGATTAATACTCATCGCTAATGCCGTGACGGATGTCGTTTTTTTCGCGTTTCGGAGTAGTTTTGATTTTTTTTTAAAGTTTTTTAAGCGTTTTTATTAATTCTAGTGGCGTTTTCGTAATTTTGCGTTTAGGGTTAACACCATATAAAAAGGGTGTTTAAGGTTTATTTGGAGGAACATGATTCACTTTAATACAACGAGAGGTTATTCTCTTCTTTGAGTTCTCTGTGGACTTGACCTTATCAAGGCCTTCCTTGTGGCGGTCGATTCGACTAATCGAGCATGATAGCGAATTCTCTTGTTCGTGGCGTCTATAACGTCGATTGGTTGACACAAGTTTGTCAACATGTCACGTTTAAACCGAGGTTACCAATCACAGGTTCGATTGGGGGTCGAGGTTTTGCGATTCGCACTTTTCAAATCTTCGTAGAACGATCAACTTCCACTCAGATTCACTTCACCTTAGAACCTATTGACAGGGTAGGTTCTAGGTTCCCTGATATGCATGATAGGTTCTAGGTTCTAAAAACTGAGGAACCGGTTCCGACATTATAAGTTCCAAGTTCCAGGAGGAACCTGGACTAATCCTGAAACCACTCACCCCTAACTTGAACTTACCTTGGCGGACATCCAGAGTTTTACACGTTTTAGTCGGCCACGAGTTTCCCTTTTTTGTCCTCCTGAATCGTGACATTCTACCTACTTCAATTGTGCTAAAAAAATGCATGATACTTATCCAAAAATAAAAGAAAAATGAATTTCAATATTCAAAACATGAAAATACAGTCATTACTAAGGCGAGTGATTTAAAGACTGAATACAATTTGCACCACGGGCATCCATGAGCTCGGGACTTATTCATGTAAGGTACGCTTTCTCATCATTATAAATATTGAGATCAGGCTATAGCAACAAAGGTGTTTTAGAAGTGAGTACCTTGTGAAATCCCTAGATCATAATTGCTAGGATTTCGGGAAAAGAACATCACAAGTGTCATAATTTTCGTACGGCGCTCACTTGAGGACCGTAACTTTTTTTTCAATCACTTGAATGCCATAATTTATGTATGGCACTCACTTGAAGGCCATAACTTTTTTCCGATCACTTAAGTGTCATAACTTTTTCCCGATCACTTGAGTGCCATACAACTTTTCAATCGACCACTTGAGTGTCATAACTTTTTTAAAATGTTCACCACAAGTGCTATGCCACGTCGGACTTTCGACACTTGGGTGAACTTTTTTTAAAATTTTTGGTACATAATTGATCGATTGAAAGTTATGGCACTCAAAGTGAATGTTTTTTTAGAAGTTATGGCACTTAAGTGGTCGAAAAAAAAATTATGATACTCAAGTGAGTTTATACGAAAGTTATGGTACTTGTGGTATCCTTATTTCATATAATTTCCAACAATGCGACATGAACCAAGAAGATGATGATTTTCAACGCATGCTTATCCTCAGTTGGATCTTCATGTTGTGTGGAAGTCTCCATTTCTCTATCACTTTATTGCCCGAGTGGTTGCAAGAGAGACAACGGAGAGAGAAGAAGATGAAGGAAAGTTGATGCGTGACACGCAAGAAAAGAAAAAAGAAAACTGATATATAAAAGAAAAGGGACTCGACCTTCAAATGCTAAAAAGGTAAGAGACCTAGAAAGAGCAATATAATCAGAACACTGCGAGGCTTTCAGCTAATAGGGTAGGTGACAAAGGGTGGTCCGATAGAAATACCATACTTATATTTCTAATAGCCGGAAAAAAACAGAAATGAAAAAGAACAGGTGGTCGAGCTTATCTATCATTCGTACATTAGCGATGACACATCGTGACTATTTGAGTACAAACTCCACCAAAGCAAAAAAAAAAAGTAAGAAAATATAAAATAACGTAAGAAAAGTCTCCTGCGGTCCTGCCTGCTCGCCTCCAAGCCGCCGGGTCAATCCATGTCTTCTTCTTCCTGCGTATGAAATTGCAGCGAAGCAACACGGGTAGCAAGCAAGAAATTTCCCTCGTGAAAAACCATCAAAACCCCCAAAATATATGTTTATTGTGGCACATTTAGCCTGAACTTTTTTTTGTGAAATAAAAAACGCCAAAGTATGCCCACTTTGACACATTTACCCTAAACTTTTTTCCTGCGAAATAAAAAACCCCAAACTTATACCAGTATGACAATTTACCCCCCATCAAGGTTCGTCAAATGATTTTTCAGTCAAAACAGCATTGTATTTATTTCACTTAAGCCACATGAGCGCCATGTCAACTCGTTTGCTTTCGGCATCTATGTAGGCAAATTTTTAACGTTGCTCATTGACTGGAGGTAAATGTGTCATATAGGTACAAGTTTGGAAATTTTTGTATCACATAAAAAAGTTTAAGGTAAATGTATCACAGTGGGGATAGTTTCGGATTTTTGATGACTTTTTCCCTTAAATTTTCAGTGAAACAAATGCACCATTAGTTTAGCTACATGTTCGCAACAATAATTGAGAGACAATTACCACTCAACCAATCACGCTAACAATTTCAAGAAAATCAAAGCAAGATGTGTCTCGATGTATTATTTCTCCCAAGAAATTTCAAGAAACCAAAAGCGACAAATGATTAATGACCGAGAAAGGAACATGAACTCACATTAGAAAACGCAAAAGTATTATAGATACTTTCAAAAATAATTTTATTCTCGATCCGAGGAAAGGGTAGACAAAATTCCCTTACTAGGCCCAATGCAGTTTGACCCAGATTCTTTCCATCAAAGCCGAAATTTTTTTTGTAGCAACATCAAGTACTCTAAACAGCGAAACAGAGAGGAATAGGCAGTTAAAGTAGCATTCTTGATTGATTGGATTCGAGGATCCGAATTACAGAACGAGCCCGATCTATAAGTTTTATTCATTCATGCAAAGCACTCATTTCTATACATACAAGGTTCTTTCTCCTCCCATACGGTCGTTATAGAAAACACGTAGCGAAGGGCACGGTTGGCGGTCTTTAAAGATTAATCATTGCTGTGACAATGTTGGGGGCGGCCATTACTGATGGGGACGGAAACAACGAGGTTTGTGGTGGCGGGAATGGTTCGCCACTAAGAATTGAAGGCCATTGCCAGCTTTCGTGGTGAGTGAAGGGTGTCCAGAAATGGTCGCGGCCAGTAGTAAGGAGAGAATGAAGAGTATGTTGTCCAGAAATACTCTCAGGTTTTCTCTTGGCTTCAAGGTGTTGCAGTTTAGCTTTGACTTCTTCAACGAGTCCTTTGATAAACTTAGCTTCGTCTCTGTTTAAATGAAAACAGAAAAAAAAGAAGCATGGGACAAGTCCACATTAGTAGTAGGACGCTAATTTTAAAGTTTTATGTTAGAGCAATGTGCATTGTTGGGTAAAAATTTGGTAACAGTTAATATATTCAGATCCAATCTTTCTTCGTCAAATTGGCTAAGTACCCCCCTCAAATGCTTGTTACATATTTTCATATCAACAAGAAAATTCATACACCAGACCAGACCATCTTTTTCCATATTTTCAAAGCTTATTCACTTACTATTTGAATCAAATCAGTGGTTCGATACGACTTGGAAGTAAAGCAGGCGATTCGAAAACGGGCCACTTGAGAATGGCAAGAAATCAGGAACTTTCAAATAAATAAAAACGAATAGAGATCCTTTGCCGAGAAGGGGAAGCATTATCATGTGCCTTTATCTCGAAATGACCCAAACCGCTCCTAGATTTCGGTCGTCCCTCACATAGATTTTTTGACCTCAATCTAACTCCTCTCTCTGTAGAGCCAATAACTTCATGCGAGGGATAAATGAAATTTTTATCAAATCTAGGATCCTTATGCCCATTAAATTCCGAAAATTCGTAGTATGTTTGTGGCATCCCATTTCTATCTCGGCATAGATCTAAGGTGCTAACCCAAACCCCACCCCTCCAACTATTTGCATCTCATAGTAGGCATGGAACGTATTGATCTAATGGAGGAATTTTGATACCAACATTTGTCCTCGTTTTTTTGGAAAACTTTCCCATATATTTAGGCTCTATCTATTTTGCAAAAAATGAATTATTTGAAAAACATTTTCCTAACAATAATCGCTTGTATTAATTGAAACAATTGTCATTGGAAAATGTTATCGTTATTTATAAAACTTATGTCTAAACATTCTCGTGAACGATGAAAATTTTCATTCATTAATTAAAAAAATATATTTTTCAAATAATTTATTTTTCGCGAAACAAACGGAATCAGTATTCTCAATCCACATGTCTAGTTTGGTCGCTTCATCCTCTTATTTAGTTCTACTATAGATCTCTCTCCCCGTGTCCGTGCATGCCTACCCCTATCCATACCTCCTTGCTTAGTTGTTGCTCTTCGCCCATACCCTCTTCGTCGTTATTGCCTACCTCTTTCTACCTCTGTGATGACCGGCGGCATAGAAAAGATAGGGAAAAAATCGAAGAAAACAGGAGGAAAAGGAAGGGACTGGCCCGGGAGGGGGTGGGGGGGGGGGGGGGGGGCGGCGGCGGGGCGGGCGGGGTTTTGGGGTGTCTCGTGTTTGATGAAATGTCTGGATCTCGAGAAAGATAGAACGCGCCCAGCAAAAGACAGAATCCAGAGAGTGGTATCAGAAACTTACGCATTGTCCTCGAGATGCGATCCTGGGAAGTTGGAAGTAATGGAAAGAGCATGCCTCCATTCCTCCACCATGTCTGAATCTTTGCCATGCCTCCGCTCATGCTTGGCCATGGCTTCTTCATAAAGCCCAGTCCGTTGCATCACTTGGCTCGGCTTCACTTTATAGAATACGGTAACCACCAGCTGTTCCTTGCGCTTGGTACGCTCGAAGATCTTCACCAGCTCTTTTAGACACCATTCAGAGGAGGCGTAGTCTTGGGAGAAGACGACGATGGTGACAAGGGATCGTTCAATGGCCTTTTTGAGGGCCGGCGTTAATTTTTCACCCTGGTGGAGGTCCTCGCTATCCACGAAGGTTTTGATGCCACTCCGGACCAAAGCCTTGTGTAGATTCTTCAGGAACCCCTCGCGCACGTCCGGTCCTCGGAAGTTCACAAACACATCGTGCTTCGACCGTTCCTTCGAACCCATTCTGGAATCGACGATGAAACTTGGAAATTCTCTCAGCTCAAGTATTGGGTGGAATTTGGGTAGTTCATGAAGGAACTTTCTTGCTTGCTACCCGTGTTGCTTCGCTGCAATTTCATACGCAGGAAGAAGAACACATGGATTGACCCGGCCGCCTAGAGGCGAGCGGGCAGGACCGCAGGAGACTTTTCTTATGTTATTTTATATTTTCTGACTTGGTTTTTTTTTTTTTTGCTTTGGTGGAGTTTATACTCAAATAGTCATGATGTGTCATCACTCATGTACGAATGATGGATAAGCTCGACCACCTGTTCTTTTTCATTTCTTTTTTTTTTCCTGCCATTAGATATATAAGTATGGATAAGCTCGAATGATGGATAAGCTCGACCACCCTTTTTCCTGCGAGGCTTTCAGCTAATAGGGTAGGTGAAAAAGGGTGGTTTGATAGAAATGCCATACTTATATATCTAATGGCTGGAAAAAAAAAAGAAATGAAAAAGAACAGGTGGTCGAGCTTATCCATCATTCGTACATGAGCGATGACACATCATGACTATTTGAGTATAAACTCCACCAAAGCAAAAAAAAACAAAACCAAGTCAGAAAATATAAAATAACATAAGAAAAGTCTCCTGCGGTCCTGCCCGCTCGCCTCTAGGCGGCCGGGTCAATCCATGTGTTCTTCTTCCTGCGTATGAAATTGCAGCGAAGCAACACGAGTAGCAAGCAAGAAAGTTCCTTCATGAACTACCCAAATTCCGCCCAATACTTGAGCTGAGAGAATTTCCAAGTTTCATCGTCGATTCCAGACTGGGTTCAAAGGAACGGTCGAAGCACGATGTGTTTGTGAACTTCCGAGGACCAGACGTGCGCAAGGGGTTCTTGAAGAATCTACACAAGGAATTTCTACCTACTTCAATTGTGCTAAAAAAAGGCACGATACTTATCCAAAAATAAAAGAAAAGTTAATTTCAATATTCAAAACATGAAAATACAGTCATTACCAAGGCGAGTGAATTAAAGACCGAAGACAATTTGCACCATGGGCATCCATGAGCTCGGGACTTATTCATGTTAGGTACGCTTTCTCATCATTATAATTATCGAGATCAAGTTATAGCAACAAAGGTGTTTTCGAAGTGAGTACCTTGTGAAATCCCTAGATCATAATTGCTAGGATTTCGGGAAAAGAACATCACAGGTGTCATAACTTTCGTACGGAGTTCACTTGAGGGCTGTAACTTTTTTTTCAATCACTTGAATGCCATAATTTATATATGCGCTCACTTGAGGGCCATAACTTTTTCCCGATCACTTGAGTACCATAACTTTTTCCCGATCACTTTAGTCACTACAAAAAAATCGAGTTTTTCCGACGAAAATTTCCGACGAAAAAATTTTCGTTGGAAATTTGCAACGACATTTCCAACGAAAAATAAATTCGTCGGAAATTTCCGACGAAAAGTGCTTCGCCGGAAAATTTCCGCACTTTTCGTCGGAAATTTCCGACGATTTTATTTTTCGTGGGACATTTCGTTGCAAATTTCCAACGAAAATTTTTTCGTCGCAAATTTCCGACGAATTTTTGCTACGAAAAAAATTTCGTCAGAAATTTCCGACGAATTTTATTCGTGGCAAATTTGCAATACGAAAAATGATGTTTTTGGTATCTGTCCCGACCCCTAATTTCTCTCTGTCGACTGATTCCTCTTATCCCCTCGCTGTTCTCTCTCCGTCTCTCTCTTTAATTTCTCTCGAATTACTTATCGGTGCACGCGCAAATCAATCTCGGTAAAGCTTTTTCGCCGGTAAGTGTCGTGGCTAATTTCATGAATAATTGGCGACGAAAACGGTTCGTCGCAAAATTATTCATCGCTGGATTTGTATTAGTTGGTGTCATTAAAATTTTTTTTTTCCTTTCCTCACTGGTTTGGCCGATCGCCAACCATGGGGCGAGGTCCGGTGGCCTGGTCATGGCCGTCGGTCGACCTCGCCGACGCACAGGTGGGCTAGCCTCGCCCGGCCAAGCTCGCCGGCCATGGCGAGCTCGGCCTCTGGCCGGCGGCGAGGCCGGCCCTCGCCGGCACGGCGAGGGCCGATCTCAAGCCATGGCCGGCGAGCTCGAGCTCGAGCTCGCCTGCATGCGGGCGAGATCCGGGCCTCGCCGGCCATGGCGAGCTCGAGCTCGCCGGCGGCTTGGCTGGCCCTCGCCGCAGACCGGCGAGCGGCCGAGCTCGCGGGCGGATTACCGGCTCCTGCCTCGACCGGGCGAGGGCCGAGCTCGCCATGGCCGGCGAGCTCCGGCTCGCCTGCACCTCGGCGAGATCCGGGCGACCTCGAGCTCGCCGGCGGCTTGGCGGCCCCTCGCCGCACCGGCGAGGGCCGAGCTGCATGGCCGGCGAGCTCCGGCTCGCCCGCACCTCGGCGAGATCCGGGCGACCTCGAGCTCGCCGGCGGCTTGGTTGGCCCTCGCCCGCGGCTTGGCTGCCCGCCGGCACCGGCGAGGGCCGAGCTCGCCATGGCCGGCGAGCTCGAGGTCGCCCGGATCCGGGCGAGTTCCGGCGAGCTCGCCGGCCATGGCGAGTTCGGGCGAGCTCGCCGCCATGGCGAACTCGGCCCTCGGCCGGTTCCGGCCAGGCCGGCCTCGCCGCCGGCGAGCTCGAGGTCGCCCGAACTTGCCCGGTGAGAGCTCGCTGGACCAGGTCCGGCCAAGAAGAAAGGACAAAAAAAAAAAGAAAAAGAAAAAAAAAGAGAAAAAAATAAAAGATAATTAAAAAATTAATTTTAAGTCATTTGTTTTTATTTTAGGTACGTGTCCATTTGAAGGTCTCGCAATCCAAGTGAACGTTGCAATTCTCATCAAATAGACCACTTTCTACTACAAAGGTTTCAGTCAAATACTTGGTAAGTTTTCTTGACATGGTAATTTTTTCATTTTTTTCAAGTTGAAAGTAATTATTTCGTAAAAAAGAAAATTGTAATTGTTAGAATTTTATGGTTTTAATTAACAATATTAAACAATAGATATGATATTTTTAATATTGTACGAGAATTTTTTTATTTTTATACAGACACAATGCAAAGAGACAGGGGTTGGATGTATAATAAGAACTTACCTGGACGTCAAGGATTAGCCGATGAGTTTCGAATCGGGGTGGAACTATTTTTGGACTTTGCTAGTAATAAATATGAGTTCATGGATGGAAATAAGTTAAGGTGTCCATGTAGAAAGTGCAGTAATGGAAAATTTCAAGACATTGACATAGTTAGAGAACATCTTTGTAGATTTGGGTTTACTCCGAACTATTATAATTGGACTTACCATGGTAAACCATTTATATCTGATGACGAATATCGAAGAAGCGACCAATTGTTTGTTAGGAAAGAATGTAGCTATTATGACCAATTGAACCCATATCAAGGGATGGTGTTTGATGAAGCAGGCCATAATTTTTTTCCAGAATCGAATCATGCAAGTACTAGTTTAACTCCTACACTTGAACAAGTGGGAACTAGTCATGCATCACAATTGGAAGAGGCAGGAGTTACAGGTTTTGATGAGAATGTGTGTGATGGAACTTTTCAATCTAATCGGTTATGGGAAGAGTTAAAAACAGCGAGATGAACCTTTATGGGCGAGGTTGTGACAACCACACGAAGGTATCAAAGTGACAAAAAGACTGTCTAAATATCAAGGCGAGCATAATGTGTTCGTGAATTGCTTCAACTCTTTTGTTGAAGTAATGCGGGAAACAATGCCTCGTGATAACATCATGCCAAGTGACTTTTACGATATGAAAAAGCTAGTGGATAATTTAGGTCTTCCAGTTGTAAGGATTGATGTATGTAGTATGGGTTGTATGTTATATTGGAGAGATGATGAAAATGCAGAATCTTGCAAATTCTGCAGCCAACCTAGGTACAAGATTAACAGGCGGCAAGGTCGTAATCAGAAGCGTAGACCATGTAAACAAATGTTCTACTTGCCCTTAATCCCTAGGTTGCAAAGGCTTTATGCGTCTCAAGCCACTGCTGAACACATGACTTGGCATGCAAATCATGAAACAGAAGAGGATCTAATGTGTCATCCTTCAGATGCAGAGGCATGGAAACATTTTGATAGAACATATCCCGAGTTTGCGATAGAGCCTCGAAACATCAGGTTAGGTCTGTGTGCTGATAGTTTTGCCCCATTTGGGAAATCAGGAAAAAGTTATTCATGTTGGCCAGTTATCTTAACTCCGTATAATCTTCTACCCGGTATGTGCATGAAGACACCTTATATGTTTTTGACATTGATCGTGACTGGCCCGCAAAATCCGAAAAAGTTGATAGATGTTTATATGCAACCATTGATTGAAGAGTTACAACGGCTATGGGATGAAGGTGTCCCTACGTATGACGTTTCTACCGATCAAACATTTGTAATGAAGGCTGCTCTTCTTTGGACGATAAATGACTTTCCAGCTTATGGAATGTTATCTGGATGGAGTACAGCTGGGATCTTAGGATGTCCGATATATATAGAGATATCGAAGTCATTCAGATTAAAGCACGGTAAGAAGGCCAGTTATTTTGACTGTCATAGGCAATTTTTGCCGCTAAAGCATACATTCAGAAGGAATAAAAAAGAGTTTATCAAGAATAGGATCGAAAGAACACATCCACCATTGAGGTTGACCGGTGATCAAATTTGGGAGCGAGTGCAGGAGTTTCCAACGGTTGTTGAAAACCCTCACGGCACAACTATTGGGTACGGAAGTACACATAAATGGACTAAGCGCAGTATATTTTGGGATCTACCATATTGGAAGGCCCATCTTATTCATCATAATCTTGACGTCATGCACATAGAGAAGAACGTTTTCGATAATGTCATAAATACTGTGATGGATGTCACTGGAAAAATAAAAGACAACTTGAACGCAAGAAAAGATATGAGGGATATTTGCGATCGGCCAACACTAGATGTGGATGCAAGCAGCAGGGGACCAAAACCAAAAGCAGTTTATACATTGGACAAGGAGCAGAGACGGGTCGTTTGTCAATGGTTGAAATTGGTGCGATTTCCTGATGGATATGCTTCGAATCTAGGGAGATGTATTTGATTTGAATGAATGCAAGTTGATAGGTTTGAAGAGTCATGATTGTCACGTATTTATGGAAAGACTAATTCC